TGCGCGTTCCTATGTGTGGGAGATTCTCTAGAACTGCATTTTCAAACTCATTCAGTCGATCGAATTCATGTAATTCGATTGACAGTTGGATTTCATCACCAGCAGAAGTGACCAGGATCAAATGTAATACTATTGATCGTTCTTCACTTGCAGGTGTACTGTCTTGGGATGAGATTTCTCCAACCATCGCTGGAGGCCACAGCCCTTCTGTGTGGTGCTTTGGATGTCCGCCTGCTTGAGCCTTAAAGGAGCAATGAGCCGATCAGGGATCAGCCATATCACAATGGTGGTTTTCAGGACTGTGGCCAGTGACGGTGACATGGGTACCCGCCCTAGCATACCCTACTGCCAAGACCAAGACGATGCTGTCAGGTGTGGTGACCCGGCGGTACCATCCAGTCACTTCCATTTGGGGGTAGATAGTGGAGCCACCAAGGGATAGCAAGCCTGTAACATGACTCGAAAGCATTATGGGCGGCATACGGGCGCCTCCAGGTAGTCCGCTCAAGTCTACGGTAGTACAAGCAGGACAACTGGCTACATTCTCCAAAGGCCCGGTGTCCTATGTATCGTAGCTTTTCCGGTAGAACAATACTGCATAGGGCCCGACATCCTACGAAAAGGTGTGCATGTGAAGGGTGTCAACCACGGTGTCCGAGATGTCAACCGAAGTTAACTGTTTGCAATTTTCATATACTGTATGGCCTATGTATGCAGCATCCCCACCCAGCGTAACCCTCTGGATACCTGACGAATGGAAGCAACCTTGTGGGATCCCTGAAGGGGGGGGCGGCAGAGGAATGGTGTCTGACATCGCTCTGACCCCGGGCAGGGAAAGCTGTTGAAGCTTGGCACAGCTTTCAAAAGCATATGGCCCTACCACAGCTCCTTTGGCTAACTCGCAAGCACCTCCAGTGATGATGCCAACTTGTTCTAGGGCGCAGCATTCAGAAAAAAGTCGTACACCAAATGCAACGCAACCAAGCATTTCGACCCTACTCAGGGCAAAACACCCTTGGAAAGCCGCATACTCTACAGCCACAACTGTGGTAGGAAGCTTGACAATTTGCAGCGAGTAGCAATATCGCCAAGCTTCTCGGTCAATCATGTGAACACCGGGGTCGACTCTTACATGCCGAAGTCGCGCAACTGATGAGAAAACTTTAGCCGGGACTATCCCAGTAGCGTTAGCGGGGACCCAAACAGCTTTGGGATAGTCTTCATACTCTTCCCCTTGAATTTGATCCCTGCAGTCATACTTCTGGAAGCAATCGTGAACAATCAGGTGGTATTGCGTATTATCCCAAAGGGCTTCTTGGATTGGATCACACAATGCCTGGTGAGTGTACGAATCTAGCAGGGTCAGTTCGCACCCGAACGTGTCTAAGCGACTGACAGCTGGCAGATTTTCCACTAGGTAGTCCTCAAGCATGTCCCATCTATGATGTCTGCTCACAGGCACTCCCATTTGAATAACGGTACCTGCCATGGTAGTAAGGAGGAGAGTGTAAGAGCAACTGCCAGCCATCTCGTCGTCCTCATTGCACCACAATGGCGCAGTGCTTTCCATATGGATGACAAGGGGGGCAATTTGACCTCCCAGGCGATCAGCTTTCCGCAGTCTAATGTAACTGGCCTGAACTGCAGAGGGGGGTTAGCCGCTCACCTAATCCCAAAGGTAGCTCTAGGCTCCTATAGGTGTTGTCGCCAGTAGTAGCCAACCATTTTGGTACGTGGCAGGTTGAGCTCGCTGCCTGCCAACGCAAAAAAGGTTGTTCCAGGACAGCATCTAGGGACGCCGCCTGCTTGGAGTGCCGTGCTGGCTTGCGCCCTGGAAAGTGGCATCTTTCGCCGTAGCCCTGACAAGGAGATCATCTGACCATAGCTTGCGTCAAGAATACCTGGCTCGTAGGCATGAGCCAGGTTTGGTGTGTGTGGAACTGCTGGGTGGTCGCTGGAGGCACACTGCCCCTCATATGCTCGGACAATTATGTAAGGATTGTTGGCTTCATTTTGTTCGCTGTTGTGCTTGTACCTTCGCTCCTTCTGTGGGGTAACATCTTGGAGGCGCAGGGTGCAACAGCGCTCCGCCGATTTTGTGAACCACCTGGACGGGGAAGTAAACGTGCACGTGGCCAATCGGCAGATCTGGCTTGCCTAGGTACAGGTTGCGTCCAAAGGACATAACAACCGTCTGCATCAGTGCCAGAGCATTTCTGCTGGTCGCCTAAGGCGAAAGGGGCAAGGAGTGCGTCGAACCCCAACTTCCATAGAGAAAAAGAGAGCGCCAGCTTTGTCTTTCACATGCCACCAAACACTTGTAGACAGCGTTCTTTGAGGTTGCTCCCTCTCTTCTTGAACAACATGGTGGCCAGCCAGGGTATCGAAGGAAGCCATGGAGTCCCAGTTCTGGGTGCATTGGACATAAAAGATGTCTGTCAGGAACGCCCCCTTCAGATTGCCACGACACGACCACTGGGCGCTACAAGGTCCTGATCGCTGGGCAGCGCATTGGAGCGAAAGCCTGGTATGACTTCCTGAGAGCCTACCTCGAATCTGAGCTTTCATTCACCTTTGACGTGGTGAACCCGTGCCTAGGCAAGAAAGGCGCGGTAAATGACTTGGTTTGTGTCTTGGTCCACGTAGATGACGTGATGTTCACTGGACGAGAGCAACCGGTGGAAGACTTCGTGAAAAAGTTGAAGGAGAAATTCGATGTGGAGGTGGCCATGGTGAAGAACTACAATGATGAGTTTCTGAAGCGCAGGTGCACCTATGTGCCAGAGGGTCTGCTGGTGAGGCCTGGGCAACATGCCACAAAGATCATCAAAGCCTTCGAGGAGAAGTGTGCAGAGGTTGCCAGCCCCTGGAGACATTCAAGATGCTGATGGATCGAAGGTGGTATCCTACGAAGATGCCTCAACCTACCGGTCGATTGTGGGGATGGGCATCTACTTAGCTCAGGAACGCTTCGACCTCAGCTTTGTGGTGAAGGAGCTGGCTAGCAAAATGGCCAATCCAACTGAGCTGGCCATGCAAAGGATTCGCAAATTTGTGGGGTACTTCAAGGAGACTGAGGACCAACACCTTCTACCCCCTCTACCTGTCCAAGGAGAAGGTCTACATGGTCGTACACACGAGGTGTGGCTACTTGAGAGCTTCACTAATGCAGACTGGAGCGGCAACAGAGGCACAAGGAAGAGTACATCTTCATCGACTCATGGCCTGAACGGGATCATCATTTACAGCACTTCCCGTGAACAGAAAGTGGTGAGCCTCTCTTCAGCAGAAAGTGAGCTACACGCATTGGTGTCTGGGGCATGCGACGGGATTTGCATCAAGCCTTCGAGTTTTTGACGGGCGACCCTGTCCATCACATATGCTGGGTGGACAATTCTGACAAGAGAGGAGCAGGACGTCTTCGGCGTGTGAGTGGCAAGCTGCTTTGGTGGTAAGCGGCGCCATGGAAGTGAAGCAGATTAGCACGGTCCTCAACTTGGCCGACATTGGGACGAAGCCTCTATCCAAGTCGAGGTTGAGGTTGCTACTGCATTGGTGCCATGCTATGAATGGTGATGGAAGCCGAGTTGGCGAGCAAGAGAATCAAGAGTTCGAGAGGAACCACCTGGAGAAGGGAAAGATCATGAAAGTGGCCAAGCACCTCAACAGAATCATCTTCTTGAGCGGTCTTGAGCTGGCTGCGGGTTCAAAGCTTGAGGACAACTATACAGAGGCGAGCTATGTGATCCAGATCCCCTTCCACTGGATGGCCTTCCTGATGGTGTTCGGCTTTCTCACCTTTGTCATCGTGATCCTTTGGAGCAAAGTGCAGGCCCTAGAGAAGAAAGTGACCTTCCTGCAGAACAGGATTGAAATGGATGCACATGACAATCGAGAGGCCGCTCAGCAGAATTCGATGACAGCCGACTATGTGGAAAGAGTTCACAGAGGCTTGATCAGTGCTGGAGGGCACGTTGAAGGCCCAGAAGTACAAGTGCTAGAGTGGCAAAGCTTGCGCTACCTCGAGACGGTGAACAGGTGGCATGATGGATTGAAGTTGAGAAAAAGGTGGAAGAAGGTGGAGACGATCCAAGGAGAACGTGGAGAACAGCTCCCTAATGGTGGTGCATGTGGATGTTGACCTGGCGAACCAGGATTGAGCGGTGCAACAGCGATCATCATCCTGGATGATGGGCACATTGTGCAGGTGCCTACTGAGTATGTGGAGCAGGCTGGACTTGAAGCGCCATCTTCGCCCGCCCCTATGGTGGAACCTGAGCCCACGCCGGGCGATGAGAGCATGGAGGCTGATGATGCAGCCATGGAGAGTGATGAAAGTGCACCTGAAGTGGTGGCAGCAGCGTGGGAGCCTGAGTCAATTCGAATCCCGGATGCCCAGTTTGAGAATTACAACAGGGCATATAATCGTGCCGACCTTCGAGCTCGTGAAGAGCTTTTGAAGATGGAGGCCAATTGGTTTCACGGCCATCGAAATGGCAACAGATCCTTGATGAGCGAGATGTATGATATGAGGGAATCCGCTCATTTTGTACATGGATTTGATGACTAAATGCTGAGTTTCAACATTATGCATCAAGAGGAGGAGTGCTAAACCTAAAAGGAAGTACTCACTCATGAGTTGAAGACTGATGTGTTCATCATAGATGACACGCACAAATCGAGACCGCTTTGCCTCAAGCGAAAACAGCTTCGCACATTCCCAAAAGTTAAGCGTGTTGCTCGTCAAATGCAGTCTCGGGTGGTTGTTTAAACCTGTGTTACGACTTGCATGGCTTTGCAGCGGTTTAACTGTCCCCCAGGCTTTGGAGTTTTCAACCACGCTGCGACAATGAGCATCAAACTGTAGTTGGTATTGTAGATGTGCACATGGAAAACCTTTGTCCAATGTCTTGGCGGAGAGAATGTGAGTAGACGTAGAACCTACAGTCTGATATGAGCAGTCACGAAACATTGATTTTCGCGCATTTCATTCCTGGAGAATGGCGGAGACCATCAAGGCTGTTCAAAGATGCCTTGTATCGATGAGTCATCAAAAAGAGTGTTTTACGATTTGAACTTGTTGGTGCCCATTGGAAGCAAATCAGGGGTGTCCCATCAAATTTGTTGGACAATGCGAGGTGGCTGTGCGCGTGCGGCCACTTGTTCAGCGGGAAATTGAAGCTGGTGTTCAGATCTTAGCATGTCCGCAGGTTCAAATCTATTGCTGTTGCGAAGAACCCTCAAAAACAGTAGCTTGACTGTTGTTCGACCAAACATTGTTGTAAATCTTAACAATTTCATCGCCAAACTGAGGCCACCATAGCAGTAGCAGTTCACAACAATGTGGGTGCCCCAGAGAAGGGCCTCACGCATGCTGTAGTGAGACACTTTCCTACATTGCCGAGATCAAGTTCATTGACTGTGTTGATTCGTTCAAGGATTGCCACTAACTCCAGAACTGTTTGAAAGAGTTGACTAAACGGGACCAATAGGCACAACAACACAGGGAACTTGCCGAAAGTACTATAAACTTAATCGGACTGCGTTTGGATTGCTTTGCATCTCGCTGCTAGTGACATGAGGCCGTTGCCGTGAATCACGCTGGCCAGCGGAGGACATTTGGGTGCGCCCCCAAGTATTCCAAGAAAAGACATGAGTGATGCAGTGCTGTTGAGTGATGCTGGGAAGGCAAGGGTTGGTCTTGACTTGCGAGAGGTGGAGTGTTGACCTGTTTTGTTCAGGTTTGATCATGCTTACTGGAGTGTCGATCCCAAAGACCCGAACTTTGCCAACCAGGTGCGCATTGCGTATTATACTGTTTGCTTGGTGTTTTGAGCTTCGACATCTCTTCCTCTAGAAAGTCCTATGGCTGTGCGCTTTCCTTAGGAGCAAGTCAACACTGACATTGGCAAACCGTGCCTGGAGCCATTTGCTTGGATGTGGTGCTCAGACACATTGGTAGTGGCAATTGGTTTTGCAGCTGAAGTTTGCAGCATTTGTCCGAGAAAAACCCTTTCTCTCTTTTCTTGTGGTGCTTGCCTCTCCAGCCTTCACAGGAATATGATCAAAGGCTACAATTTCTGTGTGTTCGCATATGGCCAAACAGGAATCCGTGGCTTGCATTGGAAGCAATGCTCGTGCATTAAACATGCTGCAGTTTTTAACGCTGCGTTGATCAAGGAGTTGCGAGAAGATTTGTCACCATGTTTCATCCATATTTCGAGTCAGAGTGTTTGGCTGGGACCAGTCTGCTGCCACAAGTATGACGAGTTTTCTCCCACAAAAAGGATATTGGCTAGACGAGTTCAAAGGAGATTAACAACGCGAACAGATTCATTGCTGCGCGCTTTTCCAGGAGCGGGCAAGACCCATACTTTGAGCAATTCTCCTACTAAAGAGAAGCAGATGGGCCTTATCCCTTATGTGTTGGAGGCACTTGTGGCATCGGATTTGTTGAACATTGAATATGTCTCACTTTGAGATGCCAGGGGCTCTTCACGCAACACCGTGCAAAGTTCAAAAATGACGAGCTCAGGATTTGGGTGCGCTTTGCTCCATTGCCCGATATGATTGACGCCACCCCAAAGTCGTGTGGTTTTATTTCTGATTGAAGGCTTTGTGGGCTTTACGGGAGAGACTAACGTTTTTGACTCCACCATCTGGCATCATATGGAGGTTTTCAGAGAGGTGCAGACACGTTTTTAACGAAACGCATGACTGCCAGATTTCCTTCATGGAGATCTACAATGAGCAGATCCGCGATTTGCTGGAACCTCTGATTGGCAGCATAGGCTCCGGATGGCTCCATGACGGGCATGCCCGTTTGAATTGAGGCTCAGTCCAGGTCGTGAGACCACAGATCTCAAAGCAGGACAGCTTAGTACTTCAGGGTCAATCCACGTGTATCAGAGACAAAACAAGCATACGCACCTTGACAAAACGGGAGTGTGAGAGGAAAAGACAAAGAGTGAGAATGAGAGTTAGCCGAACAATGTATAAGAGAGAGAGGGACGAACTTGAGAGAGAGAGAGAGAGAGAAAAGCCACCGCTAGGGAGTCAGAAGTCAGAGAGAGAGAGAGAGAGAGAGAGGGAGAGAGAGGGGGAGGGAGGGAGAGGGAGGCATGCTGGATTTCTGATGTGTGAACCTGAATCTGGAAATTTTAGGTGAGGGACCATCCGGAGTTCGGTGCATATGTTCCTGGTCTCACAGAAGCTCCCTGTAGCGAGGCACGACTTTCTCGATTGAACGGATCCACCTCGATTTGTTGAAATCGATCTCCCTAAGCGACTGGGAGAGACGAGAAACCATGAAGTTTTTCATACGCGATGACCATGAAGTTTTTCCCACGTTCAGTACGCTCGGTGGAAAAAATCGCTGTGCAGATCAGCGACGTGAAGAGCTTGTTGGACTTTGGCACCAAAAAGTCTGGGTCCAAGTTGGATGTCCTTGGACACTCTTGCACCAACTTGTTGTGGACAAACACAGCAAGTCTTTCAGTCAGGCGCGTCACAGCTGCGACAAATATGAATGCGGGATCATCCAGATCACATGCAGTTTGAGCCTTAGACTGCCTTAGACACATTTTGAGGTGGTGCTTTACATCATGCTTGCAAGGTTTTGCGTGAACAGACCGTGATCATCTCAGGTCTTCACAATCCGTGCACAACGTCTTACAGGAGTTTTGTTGGACTCTCTTTTGACACTTTGTAGCCTCTTTCTTTATTCGTGTATTGAATCCAGGACCGAAGCCTACCACTGGAAACAAGAAGGACGATCGGAAGGCCTGTGTTGGACTCCCAGCATGCATGCTGGCCTTGCACGGACACGAAGTTGCTTTACAACAACCACTGACATATGCAAAGCAAACAAGTTGCAAACTCAGGCGGGACTCCAGACACCCGTTTCTGAAAGGGCCAAACATAGGTTCTCCTCCGACCAAGTAGACGAAACGAGAAACTCTTTCAGAAAAGATTGCGATCCCATCCTGGTCAGAACCACGCCGTTGCGGTGCTCCCGAAACGTGGCACAAAACGCGGTGCCAGTCCTTGAGCTCCCGCGTGAACTTGGTGGATCTTGCTGGCTCAGAGCGCCGGGCTGCTAGTGCTTCGAGTCGCGCCTAGAGAGAATAGATCTATCTAATTCAAACAGAAAGGTCGTCTTGGGTCCAAATGGAAGGTTCTAAACAAAGTCCTTTTCATCTGAAAAGCTTTCAAATCCGTCAGGAAGATCCCTTTTTAATCTTTTCTGGCAGAGGTGTCGCCAAGAGTGGGGCAGATGGGCTCCGATTGCGAGAAGGCTCGCTTCAACGAGGTTCAACGTTGAACCTCAGACTGTCCATGACCTGAACCATTTTGTTCCTAGTAGCGATGCCCTTTGGTAGCTTGTTGTTTCTAGTGGCGATGGCCTCCACCTAATAGCGTCCTTGCTACTCTGATTCTGGATACTGTACTCAAACGCTGGAGATGGTTTCAAGCTGGGCTGAGAATGTAGGAGCTTGTGGTCCTCAGGGGCGGTTGCTTCTGGTCTCAGAGTCCTTATCGATCTTTCGAGAAATGAAAGGGCAGCTTTTCAATCAACACTTAGACTCATGGCATGCTTGATGTGATTCTTGGTGAGCTCCATGCAGAGTAAAATGGCGGTGATGTGCCCGGAGGTTGTGCCATCAACCAGTCACTTACTGCCCTAGGCCCGTTGACTGGGCCTAATTGATGCAATCTGTCAAGGAGTGGGGTAATCCACAATTTGATTGCACAGAGGCTCTTCTTTCAAACGCCCTCTGTATTTTCGAACTGAGTCACGCATTTTCCGCTCTGTATTGAAGTATTGAGGCTGGCTTGGATGTTGTGTAGCCCACTGGTTTCGGCTGATGTCTCTAGCTTGCGCTGCTTTTCTCCCTTGGTCCTCAACTTTTGGTTCTTTTGATTCTATCCATCTCCAGTGAGTGGCCTTGGCGCTGCTCCGCTGCGCTTTGCCAGGTCTTGTGATCAAACAGCTGGCCGAGATTCAACAAGAGCCAATTAACAGGTGCGAAAGGGGCCAGAATGGGACCATGACGGATTTGGAGGGATACATGAGTCATGACGGATTTGGTGATCCTCAGGCGTCGCAGACTGAGCGTGGACGAGAGAACGAAGGCAAGGAAGCCATGGGATATTTGTTGAAAGCCATGGGACCATGGCCATGGGACTGTAGACCATGAGGCACAGTCTGCTTTGTGCATCCGATCCAGATGCAAGAAAGACAACTTAGCACCCTGGAATGGAGATGGATTGAGTTTGAGTATGTGTATATATATATAATACATATATATATATATAATGCAATGGAAACATTCAAGAATGGAAAAACTTGTCCAGAGGCTCAGGAGACCAAATTGCACGAGATCGATTTTTTGAGGCCATTCCTTTTCGAGCTTCGAAGCTTACCTTCTTGCTGAGAGAGTCCTTGGCGGGAAACTCCCGGACGTGGCTCGGCGCATCTCCACCGGGCTGAAAGGAGAGCAGAAAAAGCGTAGAACATCTAAAAGACCAAGGGATATGACAAAAGATGTTCAAGACATCTGATTGACATAGGTGAAAAAACATAGCCTAGCTACAGGGTATGAAGCAGAAAGGTGTCATTGCTGCAATTGTTCAGTGCATTTCCATACTTCTTTGTGAGTACAAGCCTTCTTTCCTTCGCCGAGCGAAAGAATGCACTGAGGTTCATGGTCGGTGCGGTGTCCCCTGCCTCCATTTGCGCTGATGAGACCATCAGCACGCTACGGCCGGGCTGCAGAGATGGGCGCAGGGTGTGAGCACAGTTGTGATGTTTGGCGCGACCAGCATTCAGTCTTTTTGAGCACTTCATCCATCAGTCTCATCATTGAAATTCCAAGTGTTGTGTTTTGCGTTTGTGTGTGGAAATGGATGCAGGACCCAAGCCATGCAAAACTGACCCCCAATCCCTCAACTCAACCACTCAGGCCAACTTAGTAAGTTGGATACCCCTACTCAGGGTACAGATGCAACAATGTGTCAAGTCAAAAACGGGCTCTGACAGGGGCAGGATGGTTCTGACCTCTGACAGTTCCCAATTTGCTGACTGCACATGCCGGATCATACAGGGTACATTTGTAGCCACCACATCCCACTACCCACTAGTGAGTTCGATCGGAATCAGAGCAGGGAAAGCTTGAGGGCTTTTGAACGCGATGCTCTCAGGTTGATAAGCAATCAACCTCTATCGGTCAGATCCAGTGCCCAATTAGGTTTGCAAGCTCTGTGAAGCGTGTGAAGACTGTGCTGCTCTCAGTATGTTTCCTTCTACGCATGCAACCTTGTGCCCAGATACTGCTGGCTATAGGCTTTGTTGTCTTTCTGAATGAGGTAGCGCTGCAGAATGTCAACAAAAAGCAAGAAGCTGTTGCATCATTGCAGGCATGAACGCTGGATACAACAGTTTGGCGTGAACTGATTCTGTCTTGGAGTGCCTCTGGGGAACTCCATGGAGAGAATGGATATGTATATTTTAATGAGTTCTGTACAATGAACGCGCGCAAACTTGTCTGGTAAATGCTAAAGAATTCTAGATTCAACCTGCTTGTCAGATGACATTGAGGGCTCAAGCCGACTCAAGCCTGAAAACAACCCCTCATGCCCGAAAACAGTGTTGCAAGCACAAACACTTGCGGGTCGTTCCATTGGGGTTTGACCGTCAAGACCTCATCGTCTAAATGACAGGGCTTTGTCTTGAAGTGTTGAGGAACTCGCCAACACTCGTGGAGAGTTGGGAGATGAATGCATTTTGGATAACCAAATACTGCAGATTCTTGACTGACTTGGCCAGCTTGGCTTGTGCTTTTATCACCAACAACTTGACAGAAAAAGTAACTCAGAGATTAGCTACAAAACCGGATCGCTAGACCTGAGTCACCCCCACTGGGTGTCAATCCTTCACTGCAGAAGTGCCGCAGAAGTCTTCGCTTGGGCAGACTGGTGCTTTCTCTCTTCGTGTCAGGCTGAAGTTGCAAGGCTGGCTGAGATGTTGCACAATGCTGGGGCACAGGGAGCTGGCGACGTTCGGAGCCCCAGGTCTGAAAGGCGGCTGAGGCTAGTGAGCTGTCAACAAGGGAGGTCCTTTGGCGAATGGCTGCTGGACTTAAGTGACGCAGGAGGAAATCCTTGAAATCAGGTGTTGACTTTCCTGCAACACTCTGGTGACGCCAAGGCAACAGTGAAGACGCTTCATGATGCACGCCTGCCATGTCTTGGCGACATTTGGGAACGGGAATTTGTACGGTTGCAAAGGTCAGGTACCATCTTTTGGGTGGATCGCGGAAGCCTTCAATGGCAGTGCTTTTCTCCATATTCTCAGCAAATCCAAGATGCTTTCTCCTCAAGAAATCGATTCAAAGACCTTTATATACTTAACTTTGCTTATACTGAAATTCAGACTCAATGCAGTCCAGGCTTTTGTTGCGAAGGACAATCCCCAGAACGACAAGTGGGTGTTACGGAACAACAACATTGTGTGGCCACTGAAGCCTCGGAACAAACCGCGAACAAGTACTGTATATTTTGAGCTGCTCAATGCTGGGACGCTTTGCTTTCAGTTCAATAATCCTGCGCGAATTGGACACTTGTGACACTATGAAAGTTGTTTTATCAGTGGAGTCAGTGGAGCCATATGTTCTTCTTACCCGGGCTCACTTCCACATGTCCTGTACAGTTTAATGCAGCTTTTGTAGTATCATTTAGATATCATTGATTCCGTTTTTCTTCCTGGCTGTTGACCCTAGAATTCAGTAACTTGAGTCAGATGTTCGGTGGGAGATTCTTTTTTGGCTGTCGGTGATGCTTTTTGACGGCTTGTTGAGGATTTAGAGGAACGAGAACGACTGCTTCAGGAGATGACGTTCTTTCCTGCCTGTTTATAACTTTGAAGACATGTAGCAGATGTAACAGTGGTCTCCCTGCATAGACACTGAAGTGTGGCCTACACTGAAGTGTGGCCTGTGACAGGAAGTCTCATAGACAACAGCTCGCAGAAGCCAAACTACTACAGGTTGGCTTGTGACACAGCGCTGGCTTGTAGAGTTTTTATTTTTATTTTTTTGCCAATTCTCTATGATGAACCTCGAGGGATGCTTCACTTCCTTTATATATAGGCTTTTGGACTCACTGCTGCACATCAAAGTTTTGACTGTTCAAGCTTCAATTGATCTGATCTCGCATCGAGACTTGGCTCAAATGGCGTAGTCGCACCTCGCCTTGTTTGTGCCATCGAGGCCACGGCGGGCGATGAGCTTTCCGTCGGGTTCCGGTCGTGCTCAAGGCCGACCCGTGCTCGGTGCAGGTGATGCACGTTCGCAGACCTCGGGGCGATGTGCGCGATGAGCGTGGCTGTGCAGCAAGAAGTCAAAGCGATCAGAGGGTCCTCGTTCAGAATTTGCAAAGTCCACTCACAGATCCAATATGACTCTTGGGTCAATTGAGCCACAGGCTCAAGGTCTTGCATCATTTTGACGAGGCAAAAGGTAAAACTACATTTTCGTGATCAATGCGAGATGACATGAAAAGAATCTATGTTTTTATATAGTGTACCCAGTGGAGTGGCAAGAGCGTTTTGGAGCTGTCTGGAGCGGCCAAGGTGGCGTGGCATCAATTAGACGCTCCTCTCCAAGCGCTCCCGGGCGAATGACCAAAGAGACCTGGCCTAGAAAAGAAGCTTTTTTGTTACTAGTAGTTTTGCCCTTGTTACTAGTAGCGATGCACTTGTTACTACTAGCTTCTTGCTACTAGTAGCGATGCACCTGTTTCTAATAGCGATGCACTTGTTACTACTCACAATAAATAAGATGGAACACCTGAGTCCAGCTGTGAGATTGAATGTCATCATTCGACAAACATATCGAGGCATGTTCAATCATTGCTCCCAGTGAGTTCGACGGACTTTGAAGTTCGAAATCCGCTGGACAAGCCCTCTGAGGCAAGCCCAACTCCCAAGGTGTCAGCCAAGGCGCAGAGGAGACCCGTTAAGTGGCGCAGCTGCACCCCATGAGCAAGATGGATCATGACACCAAACAGAGACTTTAGTTCTGTTTTTGAATATTCCACAAATGGGGGGAGTGGAGCCCAACTCAACCCGTTGTTCCAAATCATGAGTCATCGCCAAGGTCTGCGCCGGGTTTGCGTCCATGTGATAACAGCGAGGTCACAAAGTTTCTGCAACAGAGTCTTGGTCTAAACGTGGCAATCTGAGCTGTGGTCTCAACCGGCATGCGTGGCTTTTTTGTCGTGAATTGAGTTCTCTCGGCTTTTGTACAGCCATGACATTGGGATGAGATTTGATTTGGAAAGACTTGACGCCTGGCATCAAAAGACGGCAGTTTTCCGTTTTTGACCTCTGAGGATTGGTTTGCCTCAATACGCATCTTGCCAAGCCTGGGATTTGTTATTGCTTGGGTGGCTATGAGATAGAACAAGGGGGTCTTAGTCTTGTCTCACACACCTTACAGCCGGGGAAGCCGCTCTTTGTCTTGATCCCAGGCTGAAGCTCTTTACAACAGCGGCTTCGAAGACATGGAAACGCTGGTTGATATTGAGGCAATGAATGTCCTTCTTGGCAATACTTCAATACATCCTCTTGTTTCTGCGTGTGTGTGGGGCAGCGCTATCTGTGCTTAGAGGGCGCTTCAAGCGGCCGCCTCTTTTTACCCAGATAGCGAAGCTATGGGGTTCTTACTTCAAATAACAATGAGTTGCCCGTGAGCGCTTTCGAGACAGGTTTCTGGTGCTGGTGCTGGTGCTGGGTGCCGGTGCTGGTGCTGGTGCTGGTGTTGGGTGCCGGGTGCCGGTGCTGGTGCTGTGAGCTGGCTGCGCACGTGGTGGAGACAGGTTGCTGGTGCTGGTGTGTTGGTGCTGTGAGCTGGCTGAGACAGGGTGCCGGTGCTGGGTGCGGTGCTGGGTGCTAGGCGCCGGTGCTGGTGCTGGTGCTGTGGGCTGGCTGTGCACGTGGTGGAGGCAGGTGCTGGTGCTGGGTGCCGTGAGCTGTCTGTGCACGTGGTGGAGACAGGGTGCCGGTGCTGGGTGTTGGCTGTGCGCGTGGTGGAGATAGGGTGCCTGTGGTGGGTGCCGGGTGCCGGTGCTGGTGCTGGTGCTGTGACGTGGGTGCGGGTGGTGGAGACAGGGTGCCGGCGCCGGTGCTTGGTGCTGGCTGTGCGCGTGGGAGACAGGGTGCCGGGTGCCGGCGCTGGTGCTGGTGTTGTGAGCTGGCTGTGCGGCTGTGGTGCTGGCAGTGGGTGCTGTGAGCTGGCTGTGCGCGTGGTGGAGACAGGGTGCCGGTGCTGGCAGTGGTGGAGACAGGGGGCGCCAGTGCTGCTGGTGCTGGGTGCTGTGAGCTGGCAGTGCGCGTGGTGGAGACTGGGTGCCGGTGCTGGGCGCTGGTTGTGCACGTGGTGGGGACAGGGTGCGGGTGCTGGGTGCCACCGCCGCTTGTAGCAGTGAAGAGCGACCAACCGCCGCTTCTGACAGTGAAGTGCCAGCAGTCATGGGCCGCATGAACTTACGCACGCAATATCATACGGTGTTGTCGCTTGAGCGTTCTTTGTCTATGAGCGCTGTGGGGTATTTACAGTCTTCAGGTTCTGTTTTGGCCGACAGCTGTGTCAAGGGCTGCTTGGCCTTGGGCAAGTGAAGCCTACGGGCTTTGCCGTTTGTGCGCATTCTTTTGTGTGCATAAACTTATACGCACAAGATCATACGGCCTTATCGTTCTACAGATCGTTGCTTCAAGCATGCTATAAAGGCACTGGATACTGCTTGGCCTTGGGCCAATGACACTTACGGGTTTTGCTGTTTGCACGCATAGTTTTGTGTGCATAAACTTATACGCGCAAGATCACACTAGGGATAGCTATGGGGTTCTTACTGCAAATAAGAATGAGCTGGCTGCGCGCGCTTTCGAAGGGGTGTCGGTCCTGGGCGCTGGTGGCTGAGCGCGCGTTTATGACGGGCGGCGGTGCTGGTCGGGTGCTGGTGCCGCCGCCGATCTTGTCAGCTGGCAAAGCGCACTGGTGCTGGTGTTAGCTAGTTCGGCGCGCTGTGGAGGCGCTGTAAGGTGGCTGTGCGTGCAGGCTGTATACATTCTTCGGATGCTGCCTAGTTATCTGGGTCTATGCTGGTGTAATTTAGGAGAGTGGGGGGGTTCAAGTTCCAAAAGCAATTGCTTTGCAGGAAGATCACATGCGAGATTTGGGCATTCTTCCTGGCCATCAAGTCAAGCTTCGCAAGAGGCTTCCAAGCGGAAATCGATGGCACACGCAAAATATACAGCATCGTGTTTAGCTCTAGGTTAGATTCATTCGGATTTCTTCATTCCTCCACCAATCAAGAAATAGGATACTGTATTCTCAAAGATTTGCAGTCAGACACAAGATGACACATGCCACCTTGAAAAAGATTGAACGCTGTTGTTTTCGAGGCTGGACGAGTTTGAGGCTGGCGTTCCAGTGGTGCAAATCAACCAGAGAAAAGCTTTGGGAGACTGGGAAGAGGAAGATGACTATCCTGCTGTACCTGTGCGCATTGCTCCGTCCATGACACTCCTGAAGGGCCACTCGCCCAGCATGACCCTGAGGGGCAACCCTGATGGTCCATGCGGAACGGAGTTGTGTTGAGAGATTGGATTCGTCTGCCGCGGTGTTTGGTTGACTTTCCCGATGAAGACGTCTACCCCTTAGTTTGCAACTTATACCAAATCTCAGGTGCAACTCCAAGCGAGAAGATGCTTGGCAGAAAGAGTCGAAAGGGGTTTTGTCAGCTAGGCAAGTCCTCGGTGTCCGAGATCAAACGAAGAACAACATGAAAAACATGTCCAGCATTCTGCCGGCAGAGTGTTTGGTGTGATAAATGATACAGGGTTGGTTCTATTTGGTCGGATTGCAGTGAAGGGTTGGCCCCTGTTCGTTCTTCAAGGAAAGGTCTGCAGGCCCTCAGGCACAGAAAAATGGCTGTAACGATCGGCCGGACCGAGGCAAATCAGCTCCGTCCAGTTGAGCTGGAATCATTTGAAGGAGATTGGCACACCTGTTGTGGCTGAATATTTTTGCAAGTGTCCAGGTTGCAATGAGACGCGTCATGAAGCATCAGTTTGCCTGAGTTGGATCCTTGCTCGAAACGCTACAAACTTTTGCCAAGAGGAATGCAAATCAGATTGCCAATTCGTCGTGCCCACATGGCCTTGATTTGGCATTCCAGGAAGATTCTTGAAATTTCTCCAGAGATCAAAGACTTGTTTCCTCCATCTGTGCGATGTAGATATCGTGATTGGTCAACGGACGAGGCACCGATTTCTGAGTCCGTTGCACTTTTGACTGAAAGAATGGAGGCATTTGGAGAAGACGATAAAATTACAAAATCTGGTTGACGTCGGCATAGATGTCTAGTCAAGTCCTTGGATGTTCTTGTCACCCGGCTTGGGTTCACCTGGCTTTGCTTGTTCTGGCAGGAGGAGGATGCTCCTTGACAGTATTCGTGGCGCATCGGCCTTCACAGGTTTGTCTTCTTTGGACCCCAGAAGGGAGTCAACCTTGCACTTGGAACAAGCGGGCGCTTTAGGTCTTTATAGTTTTAGTATACTGCGACACGACAACAGGGTATCATGGAGCAAGCTGTGCCTGATAGCTCAGCATTTCCCGATTCCCGATTCCCGTTTGAGTGGTGTCCCCGGTCTCCACAGCGTGTGGCCCGAACGCCGGTCCCGTTGGAAGAAAGGAGCGATGCTTGGCGTCCTCTCCGGCCTTGCGCCGGCTCTTCGGCCGCGTCATCGATGCCGTCGGGAGCGCAGTGGCAGGGATGCAGGCGCAGTTGGGCCGCGCAGCGCGGACACGGCGCGTTCTGCTGATGAAATGAACTTAGAAGGTGCTACAGTATCATTAGGTGACAGGTGTCCAGGGCTGTTTCACGTGCTTGATTGAATAGTGAGTATATAGTAATAGTGGCTTTTTCAATCTTTTTCCATTTCTGGCGGTTTAGAGAAAAGTTGAAGATTTGTTTAGTTGCAGTTGAAGAGTTTCTTTTCTTCGTTTGGTGAGGACATGAACAGGATGGTGCCGGCTTTGACCGAACTGGGTTTGCGCCATGTCACTCGGCTTGGGGAGGAGCGACTTTTGTTAGCGCTTCCGCTTTGCTTGACTGTTCTGAGGTGAATTACAACGTGAAGGAGGAGCACTTTCAAGTCTTTGAGAAGGCCGACCCTGCAGAGCTTTTATTTGATACCAAAGAGACTCGCTGCCTTTGGTTATTTAGGACGAAGCCAATAGCCAATGCAGGTAGCATTCTGCGAGTGTATTGCAGGATGCCACAAATGCAAGGAAAGGGTAAGAAAGGTGGAATGGAGCCGTGCTTCTCTTTTCTCATAGTTGCGCATTGACGAAGGCAAGACAGCAACCGGTGGTGCTGAAGCAACACTCAACATATTCGGTGCATGAGTCGACATTGCCATGTTCTACCAGCAGTCGACATTGTGCTTTCTCAAGCTGATCGCACAAATCTCGAGACGAGAACTGGACAAGCAAGCAACACACGTTAGCTCGAGAAGTATTGATCCACGATAGTCTATGGACACCGCACTGCTTGATTGCCTTCTGTATCGAAAAAGAACCGGCATGCGAAGGTGAACAAATTGGCAACAGCCAGAAACACGCAGTACTCTCCATGCACAATGCCGCCGCCAGTGCCAAGAGAAGGCTTCCAGCGACAGCTTCACCCTGTCAGACCTAAGCAGGCAAAGCATAGATGTCAGACCCAAGCGAGCCATTTGGGTCTAGGCAGCACGCAACAATTGACCAGCAGTGAGTCTAGTACTACTTAGAGTGGCCAGCAGTCTCAATGCTCCAGGCTTATAAGAATTCTCGAGATTTGAACCTTGCATCTACTTTGCATCTGGTTTGATCCAAACAGAGGTCATGTTACCTTTATGCTGTCCACCGGCTAGCTTTGCTGAACTTGCTGGAGTTTCACCTTTTTGTTCGCTGCTGGGCCCAAGAAGTGGGCCATTTGGGGGTGCAAAATAGTAAGTTGAAGAACGTGGACAAAATTCACCAAGAATACGTTTGAAATTTCGATGCAGTTGGTCTTTGTCCTCTCCTGTTTCCCAGCTTCTCAGAATCTTTGAACTCCCCTGTTTTCTGACAAGCGAAAAAATGTGTGGGTAGTTGAGACAAAAAGACTGAAATCTTTATGACTGGAAAAGGTCAGCAGGACACAGACACTTAAAACAATCTAAATCTAAAAAGCATTGTCCAGATGCGAAAGAATGCGATTTACACGCAAACACAACTACATTGACTGCCATCTCTTTCTTGAGGCTCACATTATTCTCATATCTAACTCCAGGTGTGCAGTGCACACACCTGCGCTAGTGCAGACATTTCACGCAACAATGCTGCCTGGCCCGCTCACTGTTTGAACTCTTTGTTTTGCCCCAGATAGCGAGAGCTATTGGGGTTCCTACTTCAAGCACAGGAAGAGGTGCCTGTGTGCGCTTTGGAGGCTGGGAGTGCTGGTGCCGCTGCAGAGTGCCGCTGCCAGGTGCGTGGCCATGTGCGCTTTGCAGCTTGGGTGCTGGTGCCACAGCAGGGCACCGCCAGATGTGTATGGCTGTTTGCGCTTTAGATCCTGCATGTTGGTGCCGCTGCAGGGTGTGGCTGCTGCCAGATGTTAATGGCAGTGTGTGTGCTTTGAGCCTGTGCGCTGGTGACGCTGCAGAGGTGCTGCTCTAGGTTGCTGCTGAGATGTCTATGGCCGTGTGTGCCTTGGAGCTTGGGTGCTGGTGCTGCTGCACCTTGCCGCTGCAGGGTGCATAAGCATGGCCCTTTGGAGACGCTCAACTTGAAATAGGTCATCCTGGGTCCCCGAAGATAAGACAGACAAGACATTTGGAGTGCAATTTTCCCGAAAGGTAGTGTCGACGCAGCCCACTGCAGGGCGCAGCTGCCAGATTTGTATGGCCCATGTGTGCTTTGGAGCCTGCATCGAGGCGGCGGCTGCCAGATGTGCATGACCATGTGCGCTTCGTGCTGGTGCGGCTGCAGGGGGCCGCTCCAAGGCCTATGGCCGCGTGCGCTTTGGAGCTTGGGCGTTGGTTCCGCTACAGAATGCCATTGCCAAATGTGCATGCCCTGCGCGCTTTGGAGCTTGGATGCTGGTGACGCAGGGTGCTGCTGCCATGTCTATGGGCATGCGCGCCGGGAAGTGTCTGTGATGTGCGCTTTGGAGCTTGGGTGCTAGTGCCATTGCAGCGTGCCGTGCGGGGGTTCCGCTGGACGGTGTTGCTTGGCAGTGTGCGCATTCGGGCCTGTGTGCTGGCGCTGCAGGGTGCTGCTGCAAGGGAATGGCCTTACGTCAGTGGGCGTGTGCACTTTGGAGCGTGGGTGTTGGTGCTGCTGCAGGGTGCCAGATGTCCATGGCAGTGTGCGAGTTGAAAGCCGTGCTTGGTGCTGCTCCAGGGTGCTTCTGCAAGGTGCCGGCCAAATCTTTGTGCCTTGTGCGCTGTGGAGCTTGGGCACTGGCGCCAATGCAAGGTTTTGCTATCTAGAGTCTATGCTGGCGTAATTTCATTTTTGTTGGTTCCCGGCAAATAGCTGCAGGCTCTGATGATCACCCTTCGTGAAGGTCTTGGCGACCTATTCACCAAGGTGCAGAACGAAGCAGTTTTTTGGGGACGGATGGGGGCACTAACACTCTTGGATACATTGAGCCCAGCAATGTGAACACATGAGGGAATGGGATCTTCAGCATGGTTATTTCTATTTGTCGTCTGATCTTGTGTTTGCACTTGCAGGAAGTGGAATTTGCATGGAACATGGCCTTCAACTTCATGAGTGCCACAATGATATCCGGCCTTCGAACCTTGTCAGTGAACGCAGTGAACTGAATAAGAAAGGTCCCTGTCGGCGCTTCTCAAAGTTGAACTCAAGATATGCACGCTGACCTGTACCGTTGTGATGTCATTTCCGAAGGTTGTCGTACCAGCGATTGCTACAGCCACATCAGAGGCTCGGCACAGAGCGCTGCCCGCTCCCAGCAGACTGAGCCCGGGCCACAAGTAAAGACCCACCAAGTCTGCGAAGGGTCCTAACAGCAGCTGATGAACGGCCCTTCTGATTCGAGATGGCATGGCTATCGGGTGGCAAAGCAGGGTTCAGATGAACTGCAAAGGCTCATGACAGCGCATGTCTTGATGCGCATGCACTTAGGCTAAGCAAAGAGCCAAACATGAGCACGACAGCCACTCCGACAGAAACTCCTTCCTCGGCGAGTGGCTCTGGCCGAGGGAGGCGGGAGCTTTGCTGATCAATGGAAGGCTGAAGAAGGGAGCTTTGAGTATTTCTTAAGGTTTTTGATTGATAACTCTCGCAAACTACAATCCTAAGATGCTTTGACTCAGGCTGAGAGCTCAAGACGCCGCAAGTACGCCCTTCGGAGCTCCTGTGGATGCACTGTATGGAGAGATAGGTTGCGGATTCCTGTGACACCGTTCTCGTCCCCCGTGCGCAAGGAGAACTACATCCCAAACAATGCAAATGGGCCACAGAGCAGGTTCTTTCCAGGTTGCGATGATGGTGAGGATACCTCCATATCTTCAGCAAGCACCTACATAACAGGTACTGGTTGTGGAGGAATTTGATTGGATGCCATTGAACTAACGGAACAGGATGAGGGGTTGTTGCAAAAAGATTCTCGAACATGTACAGCATTCATTTGACATCAACATCTTCAAGGTCCTTCCCAAGACTTGTGACTTTGAGGTTGGCACAGAGCTGCATGGCAAGGAGCCATACCGAATAGAGAGACACCTGCAGAAGGCCGGACAAAAACAATGGACAAGGACTGTTGGTCGAACTCAGTCAGCCCATGAAACTGTCCGTTTTGAGTCCCAAGAAACTGTCCGTAGACTGCATCTTCTGCACATCTTCCTGTCCCAGGCCATTTTTGGCGATGTCTTTGAGGAGCGGGACTTTGGGAGTGCTGTTGACTGGAACCAACCAGTTGGTCTTTTTCTTGGATTGTTTTGGATCACAGATGGAAGTAACATGAGACCAAAAACAAAACGCCATCAAGTACCTCTGCTTGTGATGTTCCGCTTGTGGGTGGCTCACCTGGTGGTGCTGAGCCGAAAGGTCTTAGGCCTGGAGAGCCAGCGGCGCTTGGCAGTGAAGGTGACCGAGCTTGAGAAGATGCGCTTGCAGGCAGAATGCACCAACATCACACCGCTTGGAACCCATAATCCATGATATTCAGTGAAGCTACCGGGACAAGCGGCAGTGATTGGAAGTCCACCAGACCCAGAATGAGCTGAAAAGGTTCTCCTATGGTAAAGGTAGCACTTCCACCGTTTGTATCATAGAGATCACAAGAATCTTGGACTCTTGTGAATAATTGAATAATAGTATATATATATATCTTTACTTGACTGCTCCAGCTTGCGTTACACCTCAGTATCTCAGGGCTGGTTTCCCAGTGACAGGACCACCCAATTGAGGGATGAAATCCTTTGAATGATGGGTTTCAATCGGATTCTGGATTTTTCCTTGCTGTTTGTGGGGAGTCTCCCTAGCTTTGAACACACCTAAATCATCTAAATATTACATACAGGAACCGTGTTCAGCACTTGGCCTATTAGAGCTGAGGCCTGATAAGGCCAGAAGACGCATGTCAAGACCCATGTCTCTCATTCTGACGTATTTCCTCTATGTGCAACAGATAGGTGATCCGCCTCATTATCATTTTGCAACGGCTGAGAGAATTTGATGCACTTCTATAAAAAGTTATTTAGAAAAGCACATTGTGCTGAGAGAATGTGCTTTTCATCCGAACGCGTTCTATAGATGAAAAGCACATTGTGCCGAACAGATCCACGCCAAAGGTGCTGCAGTGCTGATCGATCGATCGGTGTTCTGTCCAGGCGAAGCATCAAGCCTTGGTGGAATCACCGTTATGTGAGATTCGCTTCGCGGAGATGATGACACTCAGCTGAAGTTGGTACTTTTTGAATTAACCCCCCCCATGAGGTTTGCAAACTTGACTGCCACATTGTCTCGTTACATGTTTTGCCAATGCAATCATCAAATGAGGTAGACTCAGACCTTCGTTTGAACCGATGTCCGGCAAACATGACGAACAGACCATTGTTCATGCCACACCACGCATGCCAACAGGAAGGGTTTGGACAATGTGATTCAGCTGGAGGACTGGTACAGATGCGGGATGGAGAGCTCAAACAGACGCAATGGCATATTATCATATTATATATATACATATGCTTTCATGGATGTTTGGACCATTGAACAGGGAGTCATTCATGAAAACCTTTTGATACATGCTGAGATTGTTTAAACATCTCAGAAGTGAAAACATTGCCAGGACACTTTTGGAGATGATGATAGGCATTATGTGCCTTGTGCTGCATAGTGTTCGATTTTTCTGTGTGCACCTTGTGCTAGTATGTGCCCATGCACTGCTTCCAGTCTTTCCAGAGGGCCTTAGCCACTTTTTGTTCAAACTGCAATGGATTCCTTGAAATGCTCCCTATATGTTGATTTTGCTAGCTGTTCTGTTTGTGGAGGACTATAGACTGTCCAGGTGGCCCTGTTCTGAAACAAAGTAGGGCCGCAACCCAAACAGCTTCATGGAAACCTTCCCAGAATGAAACGCATGAGCATGAGTCCTCATTTCCCTAAGGTGGTGATGGAGTTGGCCTCTGGGGGTGACTTAATGGAGGCTTTGGAGCTCCGCCACAGCGGCTTCCAGGACCCGAGCACATGAGACCAAGATGGCGAGTGGAGTCGTTTGCATCCTTTTCTGCAGCATCCTCGTTGATTTCATTTTTTTAACGGGGGATGACCTTTCGCAAAAAGCTGAGCACGATGTTTGCTTTTCTCAACCGGTCGCCAAAGTGTTAGACAGGAAGAGCATGCCAAAAAGCTCATTCTGGACGTTGCTAGAGGTGTCTTGCTCGCGTTTTCAATGGGATCAGGATGACCAGCAGGGCGTTTTCGCTCTTCACATGATCTGCAACGTTTTATATAATACGTCTTAGAGTATTGGATGGCTTTGTCTTGGCTTGGGATCTCATCAAGTTGCCAACTCTTGTGCAATTGGTCCTAGAACAACAGCCAAGCATTTTTAGGCAATGGTAGTGTGTTGTGCGGTTTCCTCCAAAATTTGAGGCCTGGCCAGCCTCCATATGCGAGGTCTTGCAATGCAGGCGGATTCTTGATACAGTCTTACTTTTCTTTGTACAGGATCACAAAATAGGCAACAATCCATGATGCTGCTAGCGCATTTTGCTTTGCCAAAGTCAACGAGCATATACCGAATAGTGCGACTGGGTAGAACCACACAAGTGCCTCTGGCTGCTTAGTATTCCTGATCTCAGAAGGCTTTTGCCGCATAGCAATATTCATAGACACACACACTTATTGACATGCGTACTGACTTGAAAGCGGTTGCCACACGCCGGCCTAAG